CAACTTTAAGACATGTGGACTTCAACTCCCAGAATTCCTCAGCCAGCAAAGCTGGCTGAGGAATTCTGGGAGTTGAAGTCCACATGTCTTAAAGTTGCTAAGGTTGGAGACCCCTGGTTTAAATTAACTCCAAAGCTTTTCAACACGGAGCTCCACCTGGCATCACACCCCACCCTCAAAAAAAAATAATGCAGGGCCATTAACAGATCATCAGAGTTGGGAGAGACCTTGTAGGTCATCTAGTCCAACCCCCACCCCCACCCAAGTGGGAGACCCTACACCATTTCTGACAAATGAAAGGGCAGCCTTGGCTTGATTTTGGCTGCAATGAGGATTTAATAAGAGTTTCCACCAATGGAGTCTGTTTTCTGATCGAGTAGTAACCTCAAGAAGCGGGGCGGGGGGAAGCTTTTATACCGTTAGCAAAAGGGAGGTTAGATCTTTGGGCTATAAGGCCTCCCTTTCTCCCATGATAAGGAATGGCCTAGGAAAAGAAAGGAGGTGATGGAGCTCAACAGAGGGATTAGATCTAGTTTTTCTCCTTGCAGGAGCTGGATTAGATTATTAAGAGTAGATTATTATATTATTGTTATTATTATAATATGACGAGCTATGGTGGCACAGTGGCTGTTAGAATGCAGTACTGCAGGCTATTTCTGCTGACTGCCAGCTGGCTGCAATTTGACTGTTCGAAACTCTCTAGGCTCAAGGTTGAGCTCAGCCTTCCATCCGTCCAAGGTGGGCAAAATGAGGACCCGGATTGTTGGGGAGGGGGGCAATATTCTGACTCTGTAAACTGCATGGAGAAGGCTGAAAAATCACTGTGAAGCAGTATAGAAGTCTAAGTGCTACTACTATCGTTATGAGATAATTAGAAGTGGCATAATGGTAGTCTTCCAAGAGTTAAGAGCCTGTCCCAAAGGAGAAGGGCTCAACCTAACCTCCCACACCCCTGAGGGCAAGACAAGAAGCAATAAACGGAAGATCGTTAAAGTGACATCCAAGGAGAGATTTAAGGAGAAATTTCCTGACCATGAATCAGTGGAATTATTTGCCTCCAAAAGTTGTGGATGCTTCTTGGCTTACAGTTTAAAGTGACACACACATTTAAACTAACAAACATATATTATATTTAGCCAAACTAAGTTAGGTAACCAATGTTATCCCTAACAGCTTCCATCACTCAAGAGATTGGAGAGCCCTTTGGAGTTGGGCTAGAAGACCTCCAAAGTCCCTTCCCACTCTTATTTTGTACTAGCTCTATACCCGTGCTTTGCTACGAAACTATTGTGATCGGGCTTAGTTTCAGGGGAGGAAAAAAAGGGGGGGGGGGAATTGTGCCTCTGCCTACCGACATCCATCAGTATTCATCTGGCTAGCATCCTGTCAGTGTGCGAGAGAAAATTGAGGGCTGTTTGGAAACGGAAACATGGAAACTGAAATAGTATTTGCTGTGTGAGCAAGGAGGAGACAGCCAAGGAGCCTGGGCGTGGCTTAGCTCAACTGTTCTGCACTAAAGCTGGTTGCTGTTGTGAAGGTAAAACTGAAACTGAAACTCCTCTCCTCTGCTTGTGTTTTGCATTTGGAAGAGATTTCTTTTCAGGTGGGGAGGGGGAGTAAAACTCATTAGCAGCAGAGCGTGTTAATAATAATATAGGGAATACTAATGCTCTGATGGTCATGTCGAAAAATCCTTTCTTAGTGAGCACCTAGAAGCCAAGAGGAACATACATGCCAAATTTCAAGTTTGTAGGCTTTTTCGGTTCTGGAGATTTTGTGATGATGGGTGAGTGGTATTTCGCTTTTATAGAGAGAGATTCTGTAGACCTCGCTGCTCATCCCTTCTCCTGTTCTCCTCTCCCCAGGCCCTGCTGCAGGTCTTGTGCTGTCTACACCCTCGTTCCCAGTTTCTGTCTCCCATGGAGAGACCGCCTTCCTTCTGGTCTCGTTGAATTTCTCTTCTTCGGTGCCCACCTACTTCCAGATCCGATGGCGTTTCATCACCGGCCCATGGCCGGTGTTGATTGTGAAAGCTGATAACTGCAAGGGTGCCCATCAGTGGTGGGATGCTTGCGAGACCACAGTGGCCAAATCAGAGAGATACAGGCACCGAGCAGAGTGGTCTTCTGAAGGCGCTTCGCTGATATTACAGGATGCCAGAGTAGAAGATTCGGGAATTTATGAAATCAAGGTGCTGGCTTTGGGTGTCAGATTGTCAGCCAACATCAATCTAACTGTGATCAATGGTAAGAGAATGGAGATAGGTCTGCAGTGGTAGGGAAAAGCATGAGATTTAATTTTTTTAACAACCAGTTCTGTTGGCTTGACTAGGTGGGTGTGGCCACAGGACTGGTGGGTGTGGTTTTTTTTGCAGCAGCAGCACCACCAACCCTGGTTTATTTGCCTCCTGGGTCTCAGGGAAGCCTCCTGGGGGGTCATTTTTGCAGCACCCCCGTGCTCTGTTTTTGGGCTTCCTGGGCCTCAGGGAAGCTTCCCTGGGGCCCAGGAAGGCAAAATACGGATCTTGGGAAGGTGCACAGCCCCTCCCCCCGTGCCCCCCGCCCCTTATTGCCTCCTGGGCCTCAGGGAAGCCTCCTGGGTGAAGCAGTAAGACAGCTAGGGGGATTCCGGCACAGCTGATC